CTTGAAAAATACAACAACTATGCCGAATATCATGCAACGACGTATCTGCTCTTCAGCTAATTGCGGCAAAGCCCTTAAAATGGGTATAACGTGCCGAAACTGCAGTTGCTCGTTCCACCCGAGCTGTATAGGAAAGTCCGCCCAAGAAGCAAGGCAAATAAACAAGGCTACTGACGCATTTTGGTTTTGTCCAACTTGCCAGTTAACTCCAGTGGTCGGTTGTTTGTGTGCACTCATGGAAAGGTGCGATACTTTGAATGCGACAATCGCTTATTTGTTGAACGCCAGGCTTGCACCACCGGCCGCGAATATGGCCATGATTGTACCACAGTCGGTCAAAGAAAGCTCCACCTCGAGGCCGAAAAAAAGGGCTAGACGCTCATGTCGCGCTGCAGCCTCAGTTTCTCCAAATCCCTTGCCTCACTCAACTCCCAAAAGCGGACGAACATCCAGAGTACTGATGTCCACACCTTTGAGTCACACCCCCCACCTCCATTCAACAGCAACCGCGGAAGCTCCGGGGCAAACCTCTTCCGCCGTAGGGAAAAGTCGGGCGTCGTACGCCTCAGTCGCCTCAATGCATACACCGGCTAAATTACCTCCGACTCCGGTGGCCTCACCAAGCAACAGTAAGTTGACCAGACTCCAACAACCAAACAATCCGTTTAACACCGTGTCTTTAAGTCATGGCAAATCTGCATCCAACGCAAGGAGCCAAGGCGCGTTAACCGTTGTGTGTACAAATGTTGCTGAATCACAGGCGAGTACAATAAAGGGGAAGCTGTTGGATGATCGTAACCAGTGGAAGTCTATATGTACTGCGATTGGTATTTCGGTTGAACCTGCAATGCTGAGACGAGTCACACGTCATCCAAATTCAGCGCACTACGGTGAACCCCGACTTCTCCGGGTGACACTAAACTCCATCAAGGACACAGAGGCAGTTCTACTATCGTCCAACAGGCTTTGTCATTCATCACTCGAGGCGCGTATACTTCCTGATATCCCCTGGAACGAGCGTCCGAAAAAGATGAGCAACCGTGAAGAAGTTCGTAAAGCCGAGGCGAAACGGACGATAATTGTGTACGGGGTTCCTTAGCTCCAAAATTCAACCTCTGATGCAGCGGATGCACATGACCGGGAGCAATGGAGTTACCTCCGCCACGAAATCTCCCTCAATAATATCATCGCTAAGCGGTTGACCAGGATTCCATTTTCACCCAACTACAAAGGGAACGGTCCCAGACTTATGAAGGTGGTGCTTCAATCTGAGTTTATGTTACCGCTCGCCTTGGAAAACTGGTCCAAATTCCGCATGAAGCTGCCAGCTGAAATTCGGTTAAAGGCATCAGGTACGCTGCCACGGATTACCAACGACTCACGGGGAGCGATCAAATTGTTGAACCATCCACTCATGCAACTTTGTGAAGGCATGGATTTATCAACAACCGCAATATCCCACGAAACACGGCTGAACACGGGGGACCAGCAGGGCCCGGAAGGCCGCGATCAGTCGTCTAACCGAAAGCAAACTCAAAGGCAAACGTCACCACAAAAAAACGGTTAATGGCCGACCCGTTAACGGTCGGCACAAACTCCATTTCTACCACAACCTGTGCTAGCTCACTCTTGGTTACAAAAGCACTATCCTGCATGTATACTAATGCACAAGGCCTCATAAGTAAGTTGGTAGAACTCCGTCACCGTTTGGCTTCGGAGCCTCGAGACATCATAATGATCACCGAAACCTGGCTGAGCGGCGAAATCACAGACCCTGAGATTGCCATACCGGGTATGTCACTTCTCCGGAACGACAGAACGGGCAAGGGCGGTGGCGTGCTCATTTATTTCCGAACGAACCTTCGTTGTGAGCTCATAGACGATCCCCAGACTTGTGTCACCGACGTCCTTTGGTGCAAACTGTGGTTGGAACGCAACGACGTATGCCTTCTCTCTGTGGTTTACCGACCACCGAAATCCACTCCGGAAAGGGACAACAGACTTATCTCCGCTTTTCGCTCCGTGCTTAATCAGAAGTACAGCCACATCCTCGTTGCAGGAGATTTCAACACCCATGACTTGGAAAATCCAGCATCCGAGACAGAGGTGTTCAAGGCATATTTGCAAGAGCTACTCTCTAGCACCTTCTTGTATAACCACGTCACCGTTCCAACCAGGTTCAGAACAGGAAACAACCCATCGATATTAGATCTAGTGCTCACTAACGAAGAGCTCATGGTCGATGGACTAAAGGTGTGCAGTCCTTTGGGCCGTAGCGATCACGTGACTTTGCAGTTCGATTACATCTGCTACGCCAAATATCCAGCTGCGGAGCTCGAAACGAGGCAATCTGTTATCCATTACCACGTTCTGTCTGCCTTAGTTGAGAATACCAGTTGGACGTTTCTAGCTAACTGCACCCCAGAACTAGCCTGGGAGACATTTGCGAACACCATCACGTCACTAGTCATAGAAGCCTCAACACCAAAAGTTTCCCAACATCCCCGCACAGCGAAATCATTCTTGCGAAGCCGGACGCGAAAATGCATGACTCTAAGGGATCGGGCATGGCGCACGTATAAAAGCAACCCCAGCGCAGAAAACTGGACGGAATACGTTTCGCATCGCAACTACTGTGTGCTTTTGGTTCGCGAAGACAAGAGAACGCATCAGCAGGAGCTAGCCAAACGATTCTGTTCGAACAAAAAGCTTCTTTACAAACATGTGAATGGACTTCGCAAGGTGCAACGGGGAATCCCACCACTTAATACGACCAATGGGTATACACATACTGCGAAAGAGGCGGCCAACGCATTACGGGCCCAGTACTCCCCAATCTTCCAAGGTGTACAAGCCTCGACGTATATTCCGCCACTAGTTACCCCACCGCCCGTTTTATCCAACGTCACGTTCACTGCAGAAATGGTGCTGCAAAAGCTGCTATCCTTGCGTCCACACAGCTCTCCCGGGGCCGATAACATTCACCCGAAAACATTACAGGTAGCTGCCATCCACTTGGCCGAACCACTAGCTGCATTTTTTCAGCGCTGTTTCGATGAGAACATCGTACCTTCGAGGTGGAAACAAGGTGTAATAACGCCCATATACAAAGCAGGAAGTCGATCGGATCCTGTCAATTACCGCCCCGTAACGCTTCTGCCTGTGATCGCCAAAGTCATGGAAGCGGTGATAGCAGATGCGTTAATGGGATACTTGGAAAACTACGGCATAATTGCGCCAGAACAGCATGGGTTTCGTCAACATCGTTCATGTACGACGAATCTGCTGATAGCTCGTGACAACTGGACCGAGACTGTCGATGAGGGAACAGGAGTCGATGTTGCATTCTTGGACTTTTCGAAAGCCTTCGATCGCCTGGATCATCGAATCCTGCTCATTAAACTCCAACAGTACGGTATCGGAGACCCGTTGTTAGGATGGATCGGTAACTTTCTCTCTGAACGGCAGTTAGTAGTTAGAGTTCGATCATCCTTTTCCGATCCGATTCGAGTGGGATGCGGCGTACCGCAGGGTTCGGTACTTGGGCCTCGTTTGTTCCTGCTTTTCATTAACGATCTAGTAAGAGTTATTACGTCGAAATTCTTACTCTTCGCGGACGACCTCAAGGTTTGGCGGGCGATAAAACGATCGGACGACCATGAAGTCCTACAGCGTGACTTGAATGAGGCCTGGAATTGGTCGGTGAGAAACGCCCTGCCGTTTAATGTGGACAAATGTCGCGTTGTTCATATCCGCCATCGACAAGTCCACGTCTACAAGCTTGGGGCACACGATCTGAAGACCACCACTCAGGAACGCGACTTGGGTGTGCTGGTACAGGAAGACCTCGGGTGTTCCAAACAGTCAGATTCCGCTTCTAAAAGGGGCAACCAGCACGTTGGACTCCTGCGAAGAGCATTCGGAATTTTGGATCCATCCATCTTCTCTTTGATGCTGAATGCCTACGTGCGTCCTCACGTCGAATATGCAATCCAGGCCTGGCAACCCTGGCTAAAACGTGACCTTGCAGCGCTTGAGACCCCACAGCGTCGAGCAACGAAAATCGTCAAGGGCTTGCGCCACACTCCTTACCAGGAACGACTGGAGATACTCGGAGTGTTCAGCGGACGGTACCGGCGACTTCGTGGAGACCTCATACTAGTGTACCAGATATTGAGCGATCCCAGTCACGTATGCCGCCACCTCTTGAAGCTCAGCCCGAACACTAACCTTCGCGGTAACAGTTTAAAGCTGAGCCAACAGTACAGTCGTCTAGACTGTCGGAGAACCTATTTCTCCCTCCGGGTCTGCGGGCCCTGGAACGCCCTTCCAAACTCAGTAGTTTGTGCCCCCACATTAGATACGTTTAAAAAACGATTGGACGTCGCACTGAGCGCCCTGCGCTTTGTTTTATGAACGAAAACGCTTGTATATATTTAGGCTGACCAGCCTCTTTGGATTTATACCCCAAATTCACGGTCGTAAATCTGTGCGAACCGGTGAGTACTCCATTTTTATTTGCTACCATCACCAACGATAACAATTTCTTAGCCAGTTTTGCGTCGTACCACTTTATCCCCCTAAAACTGTTATACTTCTACCTTTTATCTCACTGACGCTCCTTACTTCAACCACTTATGTGGTTTGCCAATCTGTTAGTATTTCTATTGCCAACCTGCGGGACTCGTTAAGTGTATGCTTTTTTACCCGTCATATACCATTGTTCCATTATACATAACACAGCATCCAAGACAATATCTGACGTAGTAGATGAAGTTCTTGCCACCTGCTGATAAGTAATATGCATTTTTGCCATAACCCCTTGCATTAGCTGCGTTCGGTAGTGCATTTTGAATATGCTGATGATACCTTGGAGAGACACTGTACGAAGTATGCTTTTTTACCCGTCATATACCATTGTTCCATTGTATCTGTGCAAGAAGCAGTCTTCGTCATTTTGTGGATGTAACCATAGCTGATACCAGGTGAATACCCTTTGTCCTATACCACATGCTGTTGGTTTTCTAAACCCTAAGCAGGAGCATAGAGATGATTTTGTTATTTCGTTCGAATTCGTTTCTTCTGGACCGGTAGTCAATCTTAACCTCCTCCACCCTCTTCACGATCACGATTCGCTTATTAAGCCAGCATTATTTCACAAGTGTTACTCTTTTCCCGGTTATCTGAATGCATTTGATTAACTATTTTATTTAATCAGGGCACGTTTTATTTGTTTCAACATCTACCCCATTGGATCGTAGCACGTGGTTTAGATAGACGTTAAATGTCTCTTTTACCAGCAAAAGAAGAATGAAGACGAAAAAGATCGCGACAAAAGGTTAAACGGAATTGGAAGTGGGCGAGTCATTCCGCTTAAGCAAGTGAGTGCTTCGTTTATTCCGTCGTCTCAACACAGTAGTAGACTATTGTCTTCATGTCACCACATTTTGTTTATGTTCACTTTCTTTCACTACCACCCTTGACTGCTTTTTTCTACTCATCTCTGATTTCATCGTCATTATACTACGCGCGTTGGTCATAAGTGGCAATCGCCTCGCCGATTGTGCCAACTGGTTGTAAAAAAACAAGACAACAAATAATGTAATACCTTGTTTTTGTTGTGCGTCAATAATGAGATTGTGCTTGGAGAGAATGACTGAACGGGAGGGGGACATCTGAACGCAGTACACACAACAGGTGTCTCCAATCAAACGTATTCATAGTCTTTCGGACCCCAACTCGGGCGTCAGGAACACGAACCGGTGCGAACTTTGAAGTGCGCACCTTCATTCCTTTTGCTCAAGTCATCGGTTTGTCTCCCCTCCTGTCACCCAGACTCTGGTCTCGCAACCATAACACACTACAGGAGTTGCCGTACTAACCGGCGTAACACATTCCCAGCCATGCGTGAAATAACTGTAGTGAGTAGCTCACTTGCTGTACCTGCACCATGAACAAGGCGACGAGCACGCTTACTACCCACGCGGTGTGCCCATCACATATGAGCAAAACTGCAACGGCACTGACCCGGGTATTGCAGTTGCACAGCAGAGTTCAGCGGTTGGCAATGTTATAAACTCTACCCTCCAGGGTGAGCGTGATCTCGCGCCGGCGCCAAAAATGGCGTGTGCCAAGACACACTTCGTTACTAGCAAGGCATATTGCTGTCCATAAAGTACATTTCAAGAGAATATACGTTCAGGTTTTCGCTACTGGAATGTTCAAATTTAGTGGTCATTTCGGATTATCTCATTAGCTGATGCTTTATTTAGTCAAAATGCAATAACAGCCGGTCACACACTAACTTGTCACAGATACCAACTTTTGCCTTCAAAATCTTCATCAAGCTTACACGTGGATTACATCTTCTTGTTCAATATTTCGTTCTCTCCATTTTATCTACCCGCAAATCTGGAGTCGATGCTAACGGTAATGCTTTCTTATTCCTTTAGTCTTGTTCTCTCAGGACGCATCCTGCTCCCGGGATATTGGGCTTACAATTCTCGTTTGCTAGTAGAATTTCTCTAGCGGCACAGTAGCTGAGGTGTTTCTTTCCTCTAGCTAGCGTGTATAATGATGGATGAATAGAATTTCTCAAGTAGCGTCAGTGAACCAACCCAAGAAGCTAAACGTTGCGGGTGCTAATCGTATTCACCGTGGTATGCCCCAATAGTTCGCTGTGCATGTCTAGAGTCAACCAGTTCACTTCATCCATAACGGTCCGAATATCGAAGCGTAACGGATCCAGTCGTAATTGTTACACATTCGAAAGAAACAAATGGACAAAGTTTATTTAAACAACTATCATCCGAGCACCAAAGTGCGGTGGATCCAGTTGCCACGACACACCGTAAGAATAACAGTAAATAACAACGGTGGGATAGTGGGTTTGGGTGCTAACAGAATGTAGAGAAACGAGAAAGAAATGTGTCAGGTTAATCAGCATGGAACGAAAATTAACAACCAGGTGAAAGAAACTGTATGCAGGAACGCCACTGACTTTGTGACCGCTCCATAGCTGCCACCGTCTTCAACCATTGGTGCGGACCATCCCGAGGCCCCCATCCAAGAAGACGGCACGCACCAGCCTGACCAAGTCTTTCAGTCAGTTACTTCATGTCCCCATGCCACGTCATGGACAGGCCACCTCGCGGTTTCTCTCAACTTGATGCGGCCACAGCGTATGATGCACGCCGAGAAAGCCGATCAACACGCTTCCGGTGAACATGGCCTAACCAACACAAGTGACTAAGATTTAGCAAGCACTCGAGAGAGGCACCAGAAGGCTTCTTGTCAAAAACCAACTGGCGGACCTCCGCACTGCCCACTCAGTGTTCCAACCAGACGTGAGCAATGCTTCGCAAGCACCGGTGGTGAACGACGGCCAAGCGTTCAATGCCGTCGCCGCGAACTGGCCAAGTCTGTGATACATACATTAAAACCGGCATTACCACAGCGTTGTACACCCTACGTTTCATTGACAAGCTGATACTCCGCAGTCTCTATAGATGGTTGAGCTTCTGGAAAGCCACGGTCCAGTGAAGAGAGTATTAGACAGAATTTAAAGCACCATCGGTTTGTCGAATACTTCATGCTAAACAAATCTCTAACTACCAGTAAGACCAGCTTTGTGGGTTCCGTCAGGAAATTTGCATGCGCCGATTGGATTTCTTTACGGCCAGTCTCGTCCCCTTATCGCTTGATCATATCAGGATTCACTCATACCAACATATTGGAAAATGTGCCTAGTTTGGTAATCGATGCACGTTCCAGTACTGGTCCAGCAATGCACCTGTGCTTTGTTACCAAAGGATAGCAGGTAAACGTTTGCATTGCTAATTTTGTGTTGCAAATAGATATTGGTAGAGTGGTTATGTTTGCACTGCACATTGTAACGTCTGCTCTGCAACGTTGTGCACTCTTTTATACCGAATAATCGGATGCCACTTTAGTTGTATAAACACTCGTCATTTTAATTGCTTTGCGCAAATTCCGGATCCATATGATACCATGCATTTTTTTCAGCACTAGAAGCGAAGAAGAGAAGGAAGGGCGTCAGCAGCGGGCACATCGCACCGATGTTTCGTTGCTACGCGACCACCACCGGTCGCGCGTAGGCCGGGTACATCGTAAAGTCACCCGCGCCTGTGCGGCTTGGGACCGAGAGCCTCCAGGTTACAGGGAAATCTTGTGATCCTTTCGCTATCAACTGCACTGGAAGTGATAAGGGTTAACTACGTAACTTAGCCAATCAGGCGCTTCTGCTGACCACTTGATGATAGTATGAACATGGGATGTGTCGGCCCAGCGTCGTCTAGCGAGGCATCCGCAGTACGCTGATACACTTCACCGGCACTTCGCTGTCGCGCGACCAACTGGTTGCACTCTGGCTGGGTATATTGCGACGTCGCCTTCACTTACGCGGATTCGAAACGGTGACCTTTGAGATATAAGACAAACGATTCATCCTTTCGGTCATCTGCCCGATACTGTGGTAGCATCGGACACTAGGGAAGTGCGAAGCACCTGCCAAAGGACTGCTCTATGCTAGTCTATCCAGAGGCGATTGCATAGAAGTTGAGTCGAACCCAAAACGTCAATATCCTCTGCGTACTCTTACCTTGTCCTACGGCCATCCAGTGAGCCTACTCCTCAGAATAGCGAAGAAGTGTATATTTATTATTATAACTACTCACAAGTCAGAATATATACAACCGTGCTATTAGAATCATGACGGTGATGGAAGGGATGATAATGATACCAACAAGTGAGTGTGGTTCTTTTTGCTGATTAATACAAATCGTATTGAATTTATTTTTGTCTCGTTTAAAGAAACAGAAATGGTACAGAAGCATTAGCACCATTGATGTCTATTACGAACCATAAGCTCCATGACCCCCAACTATTGAGGTCATCATCACGCAGTCCCCAGCCTGGGAGACGAACAGATTCAGCAGACACTATACATGAAGTAAGATTCTTCATGTTCTTCCTCCACGTCATTGGTTGTCCGTCTTGGCATTTTCCCTCCCACATCCATAAAGTATACATAATGTGCGACGAGGAAGGCGATGGACTGGCATGCGCCGCACATGACCCAGCTAACACATCTTTTCTGGAGGCAGGGCTATTCTTACGGAGTACTCGGCTTATGGCTTCGTATTTCTTACATGTTGCTACCACTACGCACAAGCAGCTGTCCGCAAGCATCAGTTATCGAAGCTTTTCAGCCATCTCAAACTTTCCACTCGAGCTGGCTGTCTCTGCCATACAGCAGCATCGCACGGACGGTAGTACTGTACACCAACTTTGGACTTGCGACTGACGTCTCGATGACGCCGCAACTGTATCAGAATAATGAGTAAAAATTAGCTCTGGCAATTCGTTGGAGAATTTCATCTTTGATACCCCCACCAGCCGTGATGTAACTCCTGGGATAAGTAAAGCCATTAAATTGCTCCAGGTTGTCACTCTCAATGGTGAGCACAACCAGTTACCAATCCTGAAGCAAATCATTACATGTGAATGGGGTAAAATACGGATCACATTTTGACTGCTTTATTGCTAAGCGGCTCAGCATGTTTTGGGCTGCCTATGCGTTGTCCCACAGCAAAGCGATGCTATCAGCATAATTCAGATCCACAACTCTGTCCCCGGGAGAAGCTCATCGCCGCAGATCTGCGCTGCTTCCAGTGGGCGACGAGGAATATCTTCGATGGCAAAGTTGAACAGGAACAGCGAGATAGCAACATTGGCATACTCCGATGACAACAGCAAACGAAAAAGAAAACCTATTATAAGCGCTGACTTTGCTCGATATGTGACTATACAGTTCTTTCAGTATCGCTACATAATTGTCGGGTACACCATTCCTTATCAGACAATCCCATTGAGATGATCTATCTACTGAACCAAAAGTGGCTCAAAGGTCCAACGATTGTTGGTCTTCGGTGGACATGAAGATATTCGATAATTCGACGCAGCCCGAGTATCTGGTCGATGCAACTTGAACCCACATGAAAATCATCCTATTCCTTGTACTACAAACTCCCGAGTAACTGAATACCTACGAAGCAGGATAGGCACAAAAACCTTGATCGCCACATAGATAAGTGGGATTCCTCGGTACTCTGTACATTCCCTACGGAAGTCTTCTGTAACTCGGTACCACGACAGCTTCTCCCCATGAGTTGGAATCCTTCTGTTCAGTCTAGATCTTTATGAACAATGATAGCATTTCGTCGGCCATCACGTTTCGCCATCTTTGAATAAGGCCAGAGGAAAATTGTCAGGGCTTGGAGATTTGTGACATCTCAGAGTATTTATTTCTCTCCGACTGTCCGCTTCCGTAAGAGGATCTATGCAAACACGCCAGGCACCA